TTTTAATTAAATAAAAAATTATGAATTATTTTAATATGCAATTTAGGTATTAAATAAAATTAGCCTTTTTCTTCCTTAAATATGTGTTATCAACTTTCAAGAATGTTAAAAACTTCTCTGATGGTTTAATATGAAATCACTCCTACAGCAAAATTCATAAATAATAAATATTATCTCATTAATCCATGTTTTAGTTTAGCTGGATCTCAGAGCAACTTAGTTCCTCAGGGAATGCAGTTTTCTTTATAAAAGAAGGTGATGAGACATAATCTCTAAGGAATTAAATTGTGAAAACAATCTTAGTATTGTGCATGCTAATATAAATCTGTTATTCCCTTTCCACATCTATCACAACACATTTTAAATTGTGGCTGATCTCGTATGCAAATAGCTGTCTTATTAGAAATTGTGGCTGTATGTGCTAATGTCTCCCTGGATTTCTTGGGAGTTTGCTATCTAACCATCAAAGCAATAGAAATGAATGATGATTACTGCAAGGCTTTGAAGAACAAAGAAAAGTCAGAACATTTTAGAGGTTCTGGATGTCTGAGGCATTGACAGTTTGCACCATACAGATGAATGGGGATCTCTTTACATCATTTAAAATAGCCTCAATGTGTTTATAAGTAAGGTAAAATATTTTCTACCTTCTTGTGTTTGTTGCAGCTAATGAAATGTCAGTCATTTGTGTATGTGTGTATTCTACAGGCATTTTTTGTTTCATCATTTAGTAAAATGTTAATTTGCTTAAAGAACAGAATATAATAATTTCAAAGACAAGACTAAAGTTTAAGCTTTTGAAATTTTGATTAAATATTACTAATCACTAAAATAATTAGGAACAAAAATTGCAAACCAGTTCCTTTTTAATGTATCTCCTTGGTTGAAATTATTTTAAAGTTTTTATACTCAGAGATTATTATTCATGTGTCTGTTCATAGAATATAGTCCCTTATGAATATTCACATTCTTTACTTTTCTTGGCATAATTTTGTTATGTAAGGTACATTTACAAATAAGTAAAATTCTTTTTACTTTGATGAAAACATATTCTTGATATTCTTTTTTATTTACTATAGGTAATGAATGAATGAAATACTGGTCTCTAAAGTGTTATCTTTGTTGGGATATTGGTTAAAATGACCAGTAAGGAATTGAAGGAAGCATAGTGAGTAACCATTTTGGCAAATAGCTTTAGTAATTTGCATTTTTACAAATTTAAGCACATTTCATAAAGGCCAACAACATAACTAAGTTGAAGAGGGAATAATATCTTGTGTATTTATTAATTTAATCTAACTTCTGGTCTAAAATGGAGTAGTGTCTCTTCTAGCCCCATGCAATTAAGACTAAAATAACTTGTTTCCTCTTTACAATTAATAAATGCAAAACACTATGCAAATGGATTGCTATATGAATAAATTATAATATATCTATTGGCTTTTTTATCATGCTTCTCTTGACAGAATTATTTTTAATGTTTTGAATTATAACAAGTAAGATTATAGGATTAGGTGATACCTTGGTTTCATTTCTAAAATTTTAAGGATGTGTTATATTACATGGTTTATTGAAGATGAAGACTTAATTTATTTGACTTTTTAACTTACTTTGTACATTCCTGAATATTGCTATAATACCATGAATCTGAAGATTGTTGTGATGAGAAAAATTGGTGTTTAGCTGAACTTAAAATTTCCTCATATATAAATAAATAGAAATTAAGTAATTAATAGAATTACTGTATGGGGTGGAATTGTTATTAGCTATCTGTGTGATGATATATATAGAAAAACAATACAATTTGGTCTGAACAAATGCATTTGAGANAAATTTAATCTAAATAATAACTTCTGGAAAATATGTTAAGGATTAAATCAAACTGCATATAATGTAGTAAGCATGAAAATATTAAAAAATGGTAGTAATTTTTACATTAAGTAGGGCAGAACAAGAACTGAAATCCATACACTTTGGTTACATGTCATGATTTTTGAAACAAAATACGGTCTACCTGAGATTCAAACTTTAGCATTACTTTTTGCATAACATAGTAAATAATTGGACAGAAACATTCTGCAAGGATTATGCTTACAGCCCCAGTCCATCTGAACAAATAGTACATGATTTTCACATTTGTGGATGATGTTGTGTAACAGTGTGGTTTAATTGAGCATTGATAGTGCTTGATAAAATCAGTGTTACCAAGAGCAAATGATTGGGAGATTTAATTACCAGCAATTGTATCCTTGATAATTTATTTGAAAGGATTTTGTGTTCTTTATGGATATCTAATAGGAATAAGTCAAAAGCATTTTCCCAGTGCTTTAAAAATGAATTTTATAAAATAAATTAATCCTGAAGGTTGTAGATAGTTTTTT